AAAAAAAGGAATATTGTTGTGGTATTGAAAAAAATTGTTATATATTCTGTAGTAGTAGTTCCTTCAAGCGATGCGTTTCATGAAAACTTTGTACAAAATTCCTTAGGCGCCGAACGCCGCCGCCGCCGCCGCCGCGCCGATATTTTCGTAACTCGGCGGCGGCGCGTGAGTAATGACAAAAAACGGCGGCGGCGTGGCTCGGCGGCGTATACCTCTACCATGTACGCACTGTAAATATTTTTCATCGGATAAACAGAAATTAAGTTACGAACAATTATAAGGCTCAACCTATGAAAAGCGCGTTTTTAGACCTTAAGTCGTCCAAATTTGAGGGGGTATTTAAAATTAGAAGTATGCATATTTTTTGTGCTTCAATAGTTCTATCACTTTAGCAGTAAGACTGTATTATAATCACGACGAAATCCTTGACGGTGGTACCGGGAGGGGAACGGTACATTACGGTAGCAAGTTTAGTTTGGGTTAAATTCTCACACTGACGGGGTCAGATTTTCGATGCTTCCTCCTCGTAGAATAAACATGCGCAGTAAAAAGTTAACTATTCAAATCGACGAATAGTTTTATATCCACTTTCGTGAACATCTGTGTTTAAGCTATAATGAACAATTGTTTAGTAAGTAAGTTATTGGTTTTGAAATTTTTTTTTATATGGGGGGGGGGGGGCTAAAGTTCCTTCTGGCTACGCCCATGTGTACACACAAATGTATGTTTGTACAGTTCTGCACATAAAATAAGTTTGGAAATTTTTTGTTGAATTTGATAACTTTTTCCGGTGATTTTGGTAAAAAAAACATGTTGTGGCAAATGTTTCGCTAAGTTACGGTTAAACTAGCAAAGTCTTAATTATTTAACAAATGATAGGAGCATAAGAAAACTAAAAGTGGCCTAAAATAGCACACAATGAGCACAATAATACGAAAATATTTTTTTTTTATTGTTTCATTAGAGCTCCGCTAGCTTGATTGAGCTATGAAGGAGTTTTAAAGTAAAAATCCATACCTGAACAATTACATAGTTGTATGGGGGCTATAGTGTTCTGGTACGCATTCTGTGAGAGCAGTAGTGATCCCCGGCAGTGAAACCCCAAACTAGTCAGGAAAAATACTAGTTTACAACTAGAGTTTCCTGACTGAAACCGAACTAGTTCGAAAATGACCAGACTTGTACCAAGTACAAAACGATTTATTCATTCCCGGTTTATTTGACTTCGACAGTTTAAAACAATAAAGTATACAAAATATTATAACTTTTATTTGAGTTTATTGTAAACAATTACATCGA